CTGTCTGTCTGTCTGTCTGTCTGTGTGTATCTCTCTCCTCCAGTGGTGGGTTTCAAAAATTTTTAGAACCTCTTCTGTAGGTGTGGCCTGCTTTCCAGGTCCACTGGTGGAACCTCTTCTAACCGGTTCAGGAGATTTGACGAACCGGTTCTACCGAATAGATGCGAACTGTTAGGAACCCACCTCTGGTCAGCCTGTTGCCCCCAACAATCTGGTTGCTCATTTTAACCTCTTTGGAAGGATGGAAGGCTGAGTCAACATTGAGCCTGGTGAGATTCGAACTGCCAAATTGCAAGCAGCCAGCAGTCAGCAGAACCAGCCTACAGTACTGCACTCTAACCACTGTGCTATTGTGGCTCCTAATACATCCTTCCTTACTGCCAAGGTCATCTTCCTTATTGTCTACATAGCGCTTGCATTCTGGAATGCTCTTCCCCTTGAACTTCATGAAGACCTCATGATGGATATTTCAGGCATTTTTGAACATTTGGATTTAATTGAGGCCTTTCCTGGGTGTATATAGTATATGTTGGTTTTCTGCATCAATACCCAAAAGTTGACCATGATTTCTCCTGTGTTTCTCCAATGTAGGCTTTTGGTGTTATGAAAACCCACTGAGGATCAATCCCAATTCCTTGGAGGCCTGGACAGGATCCTGTGTCTTATTCCCATGTCAGATTGACGAAAGAATAAATTCTAGGAAAATTGTTGCCACCTCTGTGGTTTGGTATTTTCAGCCTGTTTTGAATATGACTGTATTTGACTATGTTGGCAGTGTCTTATATAATAATTCCAGATTCCCAAATGAGCACACATACCTACCAAGTCCCGATTTTCAGGGGCGAGTGAGGTTTGTTGGGGATTTAACAAATGGAAATTGCAACTTGATGATTACTCAGCTCCAGAAAAAAGACAATGGCACATATGTGATAAAAGTGACTGCAACTGTGGAAAATCAACTTAATCCACAGATACTTCATACTTCAGCTACACTGAAAGTTTCTGGTAAGAACTTTGCAGAATGCTATTCATTTCTTCTCTGACCTGTATAGATATCGGTCCTTAATTTGAACATAACCTCCATCTTTTTGGGGGGTCAGTTAATGAACCCATAATCCCTTGCACAGTGGAGTACCAGCAACTGAATGGAGCTGAGGGTTTAGTGACTGGATGCCCTTCCTGTCACTAATGTGGAGTTCAAAGCAGATCAGGAGTGGGTTGCTGCCGGTGCTACTGCCAGTTTGCGACCTGCCTGCAACCTGAGTGTGCACCGTTCAATGGAAATTGTTCTGTGCACATGCGCAGTCATTAAAATCCAAAATGGCGGCAGCGAAGGAGCAGCGGGGGAAACCGGTTTGGGGGCGTGGCAGGCCTGAATTCCACTACCGGTTCAGCCAAACTGGGCCGAACCAGCAGCAACCCCCTTCTGCAGCAGATATATTCTCATTGTGCCCACAGAGGGAAATTATTTGCCTCTACCTAGGATTGAACTCACAGCCTCCTGATTGTGATGTGAGATCTCCAACTCTAGGCCACTGTACCACTCTATATAATCTCCATCATCTTGAAGACTTATTTACAAGGTCTCCATTGAGGGTTTTCCATTCAGAAATGATGTTGAGTTGCTATCACCAAGCAGAGAAAGGTTATAGAAGGCTACTCAAAGAATAGAAATGCATCAGTCTACATCTCACTGTAGACTGGCAGGAAGATGTGATTTATGGAGAATCAAGTTGCTGATGTTCAAGGCATTTCTTGTTGTCTAGGAGCACTTGAAGTTACAAAGCTGTTGTTAGTTGCGAAGTTGTGTCCGACCCATCGCAGCCCCATGGACAACATTCTATCAGGCCTTCCTGTCCTCTACCATCCTCTGGAGTACATTTAAGCTCATGCCTACTGCTTCAGTGACTCTATTCAGCTACCTCATTCTCTGCTGTCCCCTTCTTCTTTTTCCCTCAATCGTTCCCAGCATTTGGCTCTTCTCCAATGAGTCCTTCCTTCTCATTAGGTGGCCAAAGTATTGGAGTCTCATCTTCAGGATTTGGCCTTCTAAAGAGCAGTCAGGGTTGATCTCCTCTAGGACTGACCGGTTTGATTGCCTTGCAGTCCAAGGGACTTGCAGGAGTCTTCTCCAGCACTGTAGTTTAAAGGCCTCCATTCTTTGGCTCTCAGCTTTTCTTATGGTCCAACATTCACAGCCATAAATTACAACTGGGGAAACCATAGCCTTGACTGTGCACACAAAAATATCTAAAATATCTGGCTTTGAGTAGCACTGGCTTTCCAACCCTTTCAACCTGATTTCATTATCCTGTTGCATTAATGAACACACCATTTAGCATGTTGCAGTCCCATACTGAATGTACCAGCATTCTTATTTATCAGGCCAGAGTTTTTCTTCCTATTTTAAATCCCTTTTTATTTTCTGGATACAGAGTTGTTTCCAATTCCCAAATTGGAAATCTTGAAATGTCAAGAAAGATGGGCCCTGCAGGTGGCTTGTTCATTAATGCA